CTGTTGAATGCATTAGCTTCCTTCATAAAAAAACATTCTATAGAGCCCATTTTTACGTTGCACTGAGGCTTGAATGATACAACAAAACAAACACAACTGTAAAAAAACTTGCTCTGTTACACTATAGGTGGATCAAAAACCTACACAGAGGTACTTTACGTTACTTTTTTTTATCCATCCCATCCAATCCATCCATCCATCCATCCATTCCATTCCATTCCATCCATCAGGCAATTCATTCATTTCAAATTAGGAAAATTTGGCAAATTCATGGAAGGAAATAATGTTTTGTAAATAAAAAATAGCACAATGGAAGATGGACAATATACATTCTCCACAGGTTGGTACAGTAAAAATTCCATCTGGACCCTTTACTACATACGGCTACCTCCCAAAGCCACGAAAACAAAGACAGAAAAAGCAGAGCAAAAGCAAAAAAGACAAAGACAAAGACAAAAAACTAAAGAAGACTCTATTACATGGAAAGCATTGAAATTCTGTATTGGAAGAAGCTTTTCCTCCACTCTGACAGGACATAATCCAGTGCTATTAGCAGTTTAAATAGAATAAATACATCATAAAAACATCTTGACATTTAACATCCTGAAAAGTCTAAATCTTGTCATTCCGACTGAAGGGGAGATCTTGAAGAAGAGATGGACAATGCACTGTGTGTGGTGTGTGTGTGTTGTGTTGTGTTTGTGTTGTGGGTGTGTGTTGTTTTGTTGTGTGTGTGTGTTGTGTGTGTGTGTGGTTTGTTGCTGGTCAGAGTGGTTCTATTTATCTCTAATTACAGTCAAATACGTGAACAAAGTTTCCAGAAGATATTCCAGTGCAGCTGGCAGCTATTCATTTCATCTGCTCCCATGTGTGTGTTGCTTCCATTGTTTTAACTAGGCATGTGTGTTTTAGTTTATGTCAAAAGGTCTCCCATAGTAACTGACAGCTATCATTATCACTTCCTTTGTCTTTGCTCTCCCTCTAATCCGACTAATTAAATCTGCTAATGTCAATATACAATTTAATCTGTGATTATGTTTGATTGGGCCGGTGGAGCCTCATTGTCATTTCTCCTGCCAGCAAAAACCAGACTGCTGACAAGCTGGACAGACAGCCAATCAGAGCGGGAGATGAGGCACTACTTCATTGACCGATGGCCAAGAAGTACCATTCCCTCTGACAGTTTGTCTTTTACAGACAAACGCATCCCTTCCATCCCAAGCGCCTTAGTGAGCGAGCTGGAAAACGTGGTGGAAGCACAGGAGGGAAGCTCTGATTGTACATGCAGAGTGGTAATTACACCTAAATTGAGGGCACATGGTAATCTATGTTAGGTCATCTCCAATTCCACTTACATTTCCATCTTTGCACTAAAAATACCTGCTAAATAATCAGAGGCTGTGTTGCGTGCCATGTGTGTGTGTGTGAGAGAGACAGAGAGAGAGTGTGTGTGAGTGTAGGCAGACACAATGTCTTTGAGATGAACCAGTAGAAGAATCGTCCCATCACATTGCAGGGAAATTAAGTGCACACTCTTTGATTTTAACAAGACAGGAGAGCAGATAAAGTTTTTTTTTTTTTTTTAAGAGAGAGGAAAAGAGAGTAGGAAAGTGCTTCCCCAGCAGAAATGTTTGCAGATTGCCATGTTTAATTGAAAGGAACATTGGCGCAAAGTTACTGACATGGAAAGATGGGTGACAAGAGGTTTTTGCAGCTTATACTTCGTCCACCAGTTGGTCTATGTAACTGACAGAACTCAGAGTTAGACTTTCAGGGCTGCCTCTTCCCCCCTACGGCAAATTGAAGTGAGATGAGGAAAATGGGAATTTGCTATTCTCAGAGCCTTTGCCCTTCGAGGTGGTGGAAGAGAACAGAATATGAATGGGGGGAGAGAAGAAAACACTCCAGAAGATGAAAACAAGCCTTGAAAGGCAACTGGTGCAATATAACCAACTCTGGCATAAATACTGGATGAACGCCAGTAAAGAATGCAGGGTAGATGTCAAAAGGAGTGGGGCATAGAGACACCAGAGTCACCTGCTTTTCAGAAAACACACTCTTAGCCCTGGGTTATCTGTAGCCCTGGGCTGATTTGGCTCCGGGCTAACAAGGTATGAAAGAGCAAGCGTCAGTTTGTCAACTGTAAACAAAATTTGGAGATACTAGTCACTGCTGGAGACGTCCTCAACTTTCAACTGTCATTTGTTAGGAAAATAACTGGTGTGCCCTTCAGTATGATAATCAGGACGGGAATTTATGCACTGTCCTTTAACTCTGCCTTTTGCAATTAAAGGAAGAGTGAGAAATTTCAAAATTGAAAATGTTAGCCTCATAGCAGGACACCAAAAAGATCTCCATTCCTCTTCAAATGTCCAATACCTTCCTCGACACTGCCGCAGTTAGCAAACAACCCAGATAAATTTGCTGTTTAATACAATATACTGAAAGGAGAAACATAAAAACAGAGCAACATTACCAGAATTATAGCCAATACTATTAGTTCTAGTATTGATAAAATATTTCCTTAAGGTTATACAAAAAAAATGAATTTAACCATCTACAGATCTGGATATGGTCTTAACACAGAGAAAAGACCCTCCAGCATGGAACTGAAACCACAGCTACAAAAAGACTGAAGGAGAGGAAGAAAGGAAAAATGTATGTGGGTGTGCACATGAGAAAGAAAAAGGCAGAGGGCGAGTGAAAGACCACACAGAAACATCTTGCAGCAATTCAATTATTCAATTTTGGAGGAGGAGAAAGAGAGGGCAGATCAGAGTTAGTGAAAGGCTCATCCTCATCTGTGATTGATTAGGAACGACAGAGACAGGATCCATGTACCACAGAGCAGAGAGGAGAGGAAACAAGTAGAGAGGAAGAGAGAAAACAAGAGGAGAGGAGAGGACAGGCTTCCACTGAACTGTCCCACGATTGTGCGGTTTATACCACACTAAAAACTGTTTCTTGGATCAATTCATGTAGAGAACAAAGGTTCAGCCCACACAATGGTCCCTGAAGTGTTCAGCCATTCATTTTTTGCACACACATTTCAGAAAAGTCTTTTTTCACACTGCTTTGAAACCTTTTTGTTGGTCTGTAAACAGCTGACCCAGGGTGAAATAAAATCCTCAAAGTATGACTGGTTGAGTCACCTGTTCAATTCTTCATAAGTAATACCATATTTATTATTATCATATTAAAGCAGTGCGTATACGAGTACAAAAGAAAAATATCAAAAAACATTTGTTTTATTGTTAATCCATATTTTTGGAACTCAACCATTTTTCCCACAAAGCAACAAAATCTTTCTTTTTCCTGAGAAGCTGGAGGAGAAACTTTAGGTAGTCTTTCAAGCTGTCAAAGACAATAAATGGCCTCTGTGGAAAAATGTAAGCGTTTCTGGGTCGTCTTAATTCTTGGCAAACTTAATGACAATTTTAGGCCAAGCAACCAGAGCGCCTAGACATAACAATTCCCATATAAGCTAAGCCCATTTCTCTCCACCCTAATGACAGGAAGCTAAAATAACTGCAATGGTCTTACGTCTGAAAAATGACTGTCTGAAATTGATACTGCTGCGCTGAAATGTTATCAGCAGCAATATTAATCTCTCACCCAGTGGTAATCGCTAATTTCATATACTATTAAGTTGATGAATGGGGTTTTAACAAACTGAGCAATTGTTAACAACTTAAAGCGGACTAATTCATCAAGGTCATGATTACTCATGGACTGTGAAGAAATATTTAGCAAGGAAGGGAAGTAAAGAGGTGAGAGACAGACATGCCAAATGACTATTTGTGCTCTCTTTCTCCATCAAAATGCGATACTAAATGACAAATACGGTAAAAGAGGATGTGTGGTTGGGATTTAGGGGAGAAATGCACAACTCAGCATTAGTATCAACAAGCTGTGGCCTACAAAAAGAAAGCAGCTGGCAGGCTGTTTTCAGACATTGTAAAACAGTGACATCTAGTGGTGGTTATAGGTAGTGTGTCACTTTCCTCTCTACATGGTGTTTTTACTCAAATAAATATGATGGGAGGTACAAAGGTCATGCCACGCTCATTATGTATAAAACAAAGGCAGCTGTGATAATGAGGTCAGTCATTAAACAGATAAAGGCATTAGTCAGCAAACATGCGTACACATCCACATATTTGCATTCACATAAAAAACGGTGTGAATATGAACTGCATATCTTCAAGAATTAATGAGTTACAGTAGTTTCAAGAGAATATTTTCCCCTAATTAAACAGCAAATTTATAACACTAAGGATCTCCAAGATCTGATCAGATCATCTTACAGGGAACAAGTGGATTAAAGATTTGAGCTAAATTCATATAATTGACATATTTGTAATACCCATAAAAAATAAGCTGTTGTTTTTGTCCATTGATAATAATTAAAAAGGCAACCTTTACATTTGGATCAAAGGAGTGTATCTTTAAAGTATTACGTTTATTTTACGCACTTTTCTTGAGCTGACAGTGTGTCAAAGATCAAACTATGATGCAGAATCTTATGGCAGTCGCATACATTTTTTTCCCAAAGCAAGAGTGATTAAGAAGAATAATAATGAAGCAGAAGAGCAGAATGACCAGTTCTCTAAGACAGCTGATACAGAGATGCTAAACACAAAGAGAATAAATTAATAAATCTGTATTGTAATGCAGATGTTGCCTGGCAAACCTTCAGGCTGGTGGTGCACTTATTGGAAGAAGCGGAATTTGGGTACACTCGTACGTAGACTCCAACACTGCAGTAACCAACAGTATGAAATGCAGGAAACAGGGCCACAGTGATGTGACAATACTTGTATAACTCCTAAATATTAGCAGCAGCTACAAGAGAAGAGAGCCAATACGAGATGAATGAACACTTCAACTTTTAGATTGTCAAACAGAGAGACACAGACACTTGGGCTCCTGTGCGAAGAGAAACACCAAGGTAAACAGAGAGAAAAATCACAAATATGAAACAGAAATGTGGGACTAACCAGTTTGTTCTCTTGCAAGTAGAGTCTCTGCAGTTTACGGCATCCTCTAGCCAAGGCCACCATGCCTTCATCTGTGATACTGTAGCACTGACCCAAGTGGATGTCCTTCAGCTCACTGCAGTGCTCTCCCAGCTAAAGGCAAAAAGGAGAAATGATTGAGTATATGTAAGATTCAAAACTGGAGTATCATTTCACTTTTCATTTGGGAATAAACTGACAAGCAAAGATCTAGACATGGAAAAAAAATATGTCTTGTGTTTCCATTCTGGCTGTAAATGCATACCTTTTTTAGTGCTTCATCCGTTAGTTTATCCTGGTTACCCACGTGCACCTTCACCAGCAGAGGGCAGTGTGTAGCCAAGGCTGACAGGGACATGTCACCAAGCTGCTTGCAGCGGTATGCTGTATACTTCTGCAGGCCCGGACAGTGTGACGCCAGGGAGGACACACCATGGTCATGAACCCCTCTGCAATCCGAGATGTTAATCTCTGTCACATTCTGCCTCCGAGAGGCTATTTTCACCAGGAGATCATCGTTTACCTGGGGAACAGGGTGACACAAAGTCGTACATGTACATATGACAAGTCAGATTTGATCCCAGAAGCAGTTATCCTCCTAGTATTAACTAAATGTCTAAAATGTAAAATGTGAAAACACACTCTCAACTGAAATTAAAGAATAATTTATGAAGATAAAAAGAGTCTCAGACCAAACATTCACTACCCTATGTGCTTACTTGTTGTAGGCCACTGAGGTCAATTTGCTTCCAGAACTGGAAGTCCAAGCAGAGGTCCCTCCAGTACTTACACACCAGAGAGGCACACAGACAGCGCTCCTTCACTGTCAGGTGGGAGAGCACCTGAAAGAAGGCAAAAGAAAATATAATGCATAAAGGCGCCCTTAGTACACAGCATGTTTCCAATTAGTGGAAAACTCTTCCTTAGTATTTTAGCTTCTTTCATTGTACAGTTAAACAAGCCAATGTGATGAACTGACCTTAAGAAGGATGGAGGAAGGCAGGTGGTTGATACTTAAGTGATCAGCAGCGTCAGAACTTCTCGCCTGGCAGTCGTCATAATGATTCAGGCAGCAGGGGGACGAGTCTGAACTGTGAGGCAAATCCGCATGGAGACCCAACCCACAGCAGCCATCGGCGGGTGAGGAGGAAGAGGAGGAGGCAGAGGAAGAAGAAGCGGAGGAGGAGGGAAGTGGACAGATGGGAAGGTGGCAGTGGCCGGTTTCAGAGTTCGAGGCGGCCTCTCCCCCACCTCCTCCCACTCCTCCGTTCTCCAGCCCTCCGTCAGGGGCAGCGAAGGCGCAGCGTGGCTGCTTACAGGGGGTGCACCTCTGCACCTCTGAGCACTTCCTCTTACACACCTGCACCCAGAGACACACACAGATCAGCTCAGTGGAAAAACATTTTCTTCAGGCAAGTCAAAAGCATTTGAATACAATTGCAATATTAATGAATATTACAACAACGACATTTTGAAAGATCGAATCAAAAGCACCCTGACCTTGGATGCTCAGTGAGAAATAAAATGAGGGAAAAAAGCTCTTGCTTTAGTGTGAAGTTTGTGGTACTATTTATTTATCCCCATGGATAAGGGACAAGCATGCAGCCAATTAATTTATGACCCTATAATGTTTAAAACACTTGGACTTTGTTGCATGAAGAGATCAGAGAACTTTGATGGACACTTACAAGTTTTCCTTATATTTTTGCACCTGTAAACCAATTTCACATTTAACTGGCCATTCTGTGGTATTGGTTAAAGAGGCCATATTATACTTTTTAGAGGTTTCCCTGTACTTTAGCATGTATTGATTTTTTTTTGTGCATGTAAAAAGGCTGAAAACTGACAAAACCCAAAGTCCACGGCAAAGAGTGTTCCCACAGAAAACACAGCCCCTGCTGCACTGCCTAACACGCCTCGTTTGATTTAAGCCCAATCTACCGTTACGCTATTACATCACACAACAGGCACCACCTATAGGCTAGGTGAAGGTCCAGTCCCGCCCACTGAAACCTAGTGAATGTATATGGTGGGCAGTGGCTTAGGGGAGCTGACCAATCGGAGGAGACATGGTATTAAATAACGTATTAAATATTAGTATTAAATAAGATTTTAGGAGATATTCTTCTGGGGAGGGACAGATTTTCTGTACAGTCTAAATCATATGTTTGGTTCTGTTGGTGCAGCACCCCCGCAGCTCCCTACCATCTCAGTATAGTCGCTGGTGCAGCCAGGCACAGGTACAGGTATGGGCACGGTCACAGACACCCCAGCGGTACGGAAGAGCGCCGGTGGTGGAATCAGTTTTGCAGGAACAGCTGATAATAGGCTTCTCCCCTGGCCCTCCCAGATAGCCAACTCCCGTGGTGACAACAGGAACTTGGAGCAGTCCTCAGGAGATGCGAGTGTTGCGTATCGCTCAGCGAGCTTTGAAGCAGCCGCTGCTCCAATGCCAACTCCACCGACACCAGGAACACTGATTCCGGTGATGCTGTTGTGGCGGCACCCGCTGCCGTTGACGCCGGCCTCCAAGTGGTCGCTGTCGTCGTCAAGACCGGTGCTGTTGTTGTGGACGATGAAGCAAAGCATGCAAGGCAGCTGCAGGAAACAGTTCCTCTTCTTCTTCTTCCTGTGATGCAACTTGCGCGTCCTCTTCTTCAGGCGGTAACCATTTTTCGAAAGAAGATGGCCCATATAGATGATTCAAGGAAACTCTGGAACAACAAGAGTTAATTCATTAGTAAATGTGTTATTCCAGGATTGGGTATACATGACAAATCTAAGTTATTGTATTAACACCAATAGGATATGTGAATTACCGATACCAAAACAACCCTTTTTCAGTGCCTTATTTGTATTCTTGTTCGTTTAACAAAACCAAAAGTCTCAAACACAACAGAGTTTAACATCGTCTTAACACGAGCAACCCTACAAGAACTTTGCTGGGATAAAATAGTATGAAATTGGCAAAGTTATGACTATAAGTAAATCTATAATAATATAATACAAAGTACTATCTATGAAAATACACAAACAAGACCTGAAAAAGGATTCAATTATCTTTCAGTACTTGACACTTTTTAATACTCAAACACAGCTAATATTGTAAAGTCATTATCACTTTGTAAAGAAAGACGTGCGTCAACAAGGAAGGGGGAAAATATATAATAATAATACAGCTACAGCCTCATACTGTTTTCAGCTCAACTTCTGAATATATTTTTGCACAGAACTGTCCCCCATGGACAGGTGGAACAAGCACAGCGGCCAATAGCTCTTAATGTACATAATGACACACGAGAATTACATTAAGACAAAAAAAATGTGTGCCTATCCTTAAAGTGTCAAGGACAATCAAGACAGCTCTATAAATACTGAAACAGCTGGGAACATAATATACATTAGGCTAAAAATAGACGCTCATTACACTACCACTCCCCATGTAGTACACATTACCAGCGTGCACCGCGACATCCCAGCCCTGGTATCACAATGAAATACTATTCTTGTCAATAAAAAGCAATCACATTGTGAGTGTAAAGCCTAAACCTGCAGTCTAACAGCACACAACAAAAGGAGCAGCGAGCTTTATAGCCGTGCTTACACCTCAGTCGACACCATTTGCCTTGTATTATCTGTGTTATGAGTGCATTACTTGTCACATGTTGAAACCCCCAGCTGCCCACGTTACAATACTTAAATAGCAGCTTTCGTTATTGCAAGCGATGCAGCGTCTGCTTGCTGCTGGATGAAAAAGAGATGTAAACAGTGAACAGGTGGTCATTTGTTTAGCACACACACACACAGACACAGACACATTCACACACACAAAGCAGCGTGACGGTTGTGTCCCGACAGCTTTATGTCAGATAACTGCCCCAAACGTAACAGCATATTTACCCCCGCTGAGGGAATAAACACACGGTCCCACTGCTAACCCAATTCAAGCTTTCTGACAGGCTAGCTCGCTCCATCACTAGATGCTAAGTTAGCTGTGTGGACCCAACATGAAAGCTCTCTCTCACCACTTCACACGGTGCTTCCACACACCGGACGCTGCTCGCATAATACTGCTGTGCTGCACGGTGGAGAGGAGCGCTGACAGGTCCCGACAGGAGAGACAGGGAGCAGGGGAAGCGGCGGGTGAAGTAGCGCGGTGTTTATCCACACAGGGGCAGCTCTGTGGCTCTGCTGCTGCTGCTGCTGC